TCTTTCAAATAATTTTAACAGGGTACGTAAACCACATTTAGCATTATTGTCACTTATAGCAAATATGCCAAATTTCAAAACAGGGCCAGTATATAAATTCACTTATTGAATAAATTTTGAATAAAAAAACTCTTAATTTTTTTCAGGTATGTCTAGAGAAATGCATCTACTTTAAGGTGATAGCAAAATCTGGTTAGTCTATATTTTAGGGTGCCCCTTGTATTATTGCCAAGTTGTTTCATTTATGGTAACCTGAGTAGTTGAATGTTATGGATAGCCTATTATGATGTGATTGGTTGTGGGATTGTGGTGCATTTGACTGATGAAAAAATATTTGTAAGGGCTTATTTCTGCATTGTCTGTCAGTTAGGAAGTACATTGCTTATTGTGTGTTGTACACCATAAAATCGCTGTATGTGATGAAATTAATCTGAAGTTTCTGTATGATTTGAAATGAAAGGAAAAAAAAGCGTTAATTGACTAGTGTGTAAATGAAGGTTTACTTAGTAATCATTATAAGTGTCCTGTTTGTAGGAAAGAAGTGCGTATTGTCGAATGTAACGATCATTCAGAGGACTTTGAATGGGTTTGTCGCAAGAAAGGTTCATGCAAGAAATGCCACTGACAGTCCGGCACTATGGAGGATATTTTTTACTCTTACTTTTTGTGAATTTATGTGGTGACAGTAGTACATATTCTAGTTCAGATAATTTTAAAAGTTTTTGTATGCTGTTAAGGAATTTTGTGTGCCACAGACTGAAGACACAGAAATTTCTAGATATAGTAAGTCGATATTTCCTTTTTGTAGTGCGTATATGCGATAACACGTATTTCCTTTTTTATTTCATTGTGTGAAAAATGCAGTTTGTTGAGCTTCGATTGGTTATAGATTTTGTTCAGTGTTGGTGATGAATAACTTTCTTTTAACATTATATGATGTCATCATCCTCCTGATTTTTTTTTAAGTGAAAATTGATCAATGTGTACATGGACAAAGTCAAAGGAGTGCATAGTTTGTGCAATTCTCTGGTTTTTTTTTTTTTTTTTTTTTTTTTTTTTTTAAGTGAAAATAGATTGATGTGTACATGGACATCAAGCTTGTGCAATTCTTTGACTTGCTATTTTGTTTTGGTGTAGCAGCCATCTTGAAATTGTGTATTGTTGCCAATTTTTCAAGAGGCACTCTGAAATATATTTTTACCAAAAATCTTATAAATCTAAATTAATTGAAATAGGTTATAATTCAAAAAATTTTTGGAAAAATATACAAAAATTACTAAAAAATATAAATTTTAAAAACAAATCAGAAAATAGCTGCAAATTTTATATGGATTGAACCTAATTTTAAAATGTGAAAAAAGGAATCAAATAAGTGTAATAAACAAAAGATATGAATAAATATATAGCAAATGCAATTAACACTAAAGAGCTAATTTTTTTTTTAAATTACTAGGGCAATTTTTCCAAAACTTGGCACTTAGGTATATTTTGGGTCATAGAATCAAAATATGAAGAGAAAAAAAAAATCAGTAGGTCATTTCAGAAAAAAGTTAGATTTTGTGTCAAAAAGGCTTATGTTAGAACAATGCTGAGTGTAAATCTAAATGTAAATCTACATATCCTAAGTCATGCTTTCGAGGTATGAAAAACATAAGTTAATTTTTGTCTATCAGGCGAGTAGAACAGGAAGAATATAACTGTGCCTTTCTTGTGTGTGCAACGTGTACATAAGCATCCTTTTATTTTTAATCCATAAGTCTTTTCAAAATTGTTTTTGCAGCTGTTCTATCCTTGTATCTGTGTGCAATTTCTCTTCTCTTTCTGATAGACTCTTAACCCCTTAATTTAATAGAAGGCAAAAATACTCAATGTTGTAATTTTTACATTAACAAGAGCCTAAGAATACGCATATATCTTGACAAGATCCTGTTTATAAATTTAATCCCGAATAAATTTTTTATGTTTAGTTAGTTACAAATGTGGTTACAAGATAGCATAAGAGATCTACTTTGATCTGTTTGTACAACTACTTAACGTGTTCTAAAGAGGTCAAGGTTCTAATAATTATCTGCTCATGCTGTGTTATATTGTATTGTGGCACTTTTTTTTTTTTTTTTTTTTCTTTCTTTTAAATGGAGAGTGAAGAAGAGTTTGATCAAGAAAGTGCAAAGTTAGTTTTTCCAGCATTAGATTATGGCCGGAAATAGACTGTAGTGGTGCCTCCCGCACCTTCAAATAGACTGTTAATTAAAAAGAACATTATCAGAACAAAATTATTATTATTATAAACAAAATATTTGCTTCAGACATTTTATTCTCTGTGATGTTACTTTTTAAAAGCAACAAATATTCTTAAGATTTTAATATAACCTTTTTTTCAACACTCTGTAATTACCCCTTAAGTGAATAATATGTCAAATTGTTGTTTAAAATAACCTATATTAACAAAGTTTAAAATTCTGCAATAAAAAAAATTGGACAATTTTTTACAAAATAATTGTTAAGGGGTTAATGACTAGCATACATAATGCACATAGCAATTATGAAGCAGTCACATCTTATTGTCACTTCCTGCAGTTTCCCTTAATGTATGTCTTTGGACAGGCACATGTTTTTATCTAGTGCTTCTGCCATCACGAGCCAGTTCCCTTAGAAAGTCCTCCACAAAGGCACCCCGTCCCTTAGGCAGATAGCCCTTGTGTGCTTTGTTGTATTCTCAATACAGATGCTTCTGCCACTATTTTGCTCCCCCTCCCCCCAAATTAATCTGGAGTTTGTATGGAATGTTATTTAAGCTGTATTTATAGTAAATATATGTTTTGCATATCCACTTCTAATAAACAGTAATATTAATATTTTAGCTTTGTTTTCCTTTCTTCCATCACTTCTTTTAAGTGAAATAGTGCAACTTATCACCTGCTACTGTGTTAGGTTGGCACTGCATGTAGAAAATTCAAAATATTCTAAATAAAATATTTATGTTCTTAAAATGTACGAGGGCTATCCAGAAAGTAGATTACATTTTGGAATAAAAAAATAAACAAAGTATAGGAAACAAATTTTATTATATACAGATGAAAGCCACACTCAAATACTACTTTTCTACATAGTCACCATACAAATTAAGGCATTTATCGTAGCGATGTACGAGCTTGGAAATTCCTTCGTCGAAAAATTCGGCCGCCTGCGCCTTCAACCACTTCGTTACCTCTTCTTGCAGCTGTGCGTCGTTTCATCAAAACCGCTGCATTGCCAGCCACTTCTTTCATTTTGCAGGAGTTCACATGTTTCACCCATGTTTCGTCACCAGTAACGATGCGATCGAGTAAAGAGTCACCATCCTTATGGTAAGCGTCCAAAAAGTTCAACGCTGCAGCCATTCGCTGATTTTTGTGGTCCTCTGTCAAGATTTTTGGAATCCATCTTGCACAAAACTTGTGGTAACCAAGCTTTTCGCTGATGATTTCGTGCAACAAACTTCGCGAAATTTGTGGAAAACTCAAAGAAAGTTCCGTTATTGTGAAATTTCGATTTTCACGGACTTTAGCATCGACTTTTTCGAGAAGTTCGGCGGTCACTATGCTGGGTCTCCCACTTCGATCTTCGTCGTGAACATTGGTTCGGCCATTTTGAAATCTTATGACCCACTGACGCACTCCACCTTCAGTGATAATGTTGTCCCCATACACTTCACGAAGCTGCCGATAGATTTCTATCGGTTTACAGTTTTTTGCAGTCAGAAACCTTATTACTGAGCGCACCTTGCAGCTCGCGGGATTTTCAATTAACGCAGACATTTCAAACCGTCACAGTATCTGAACGGAGCACAGCACGAACCTCTCACTAGCACGGCTAGATGCAGACTGAGCTGTGCAACGCTCTGACCCCAAGATGGCCGCGCTCGTAATACAAATTAATGAGAATTATATCAGCACTCCTGCTAAGTATGAAGTCAAATTATAGTTGTATGCTATTAGAAAAATGCATATGCACTGTACATTATTTTTTTAAAAAAAAGTGTCTAAGCTGTAGGAAAAAAGACTTGCAGACTGTAACGTAACCTGTGTGACCCAAAATAAAGCCAGTAATGAGCTTTCAGAATATAGCAGTATAGCCACAGTGGTGTGGCATGGCTATTTGTAATACCACTTGTTCTCACAGCTTATCTGTGCTGCAGAGAGGAACAAAGACACAGCTCCTAGTACCAATACTATAGAAATTACGTAGAAGAAAATTAAATTAATGGCAATTTGTTACAAAGTATTTATTTTAAATATATTATACACACTTAATTTTCTTTAATTAAAAACAAATTATATGTTATTCAGCCTCCCAAATAAAATAAAATTTTTAATAAAAAGAAATAAATGGGAAAATGTTTGATTATATTCATACAAATTTAGAAAAAACAGTTTTTACACGTAGCCAATTATACCTATAATTAATAAAATATAATCCAAAATTTCTTATTGTAGACCTTTCTAATCATTATAACAACAAAAGAATATTTTTCTATTACATATTTGATTGTTTAGAAACAATCAATCAGAAATGATACTTAAGTGGAAGTTTGTTGAATTTTATGAATTTAAAAACATGGAATTAGTGGAAGGTCATATGCTAGTCACATCAGGGTCCCCCCCCCCAATCTCTTTGAGCATGCCATTGAAAATTGCGCATGAAAAAGAATTTTTTGTTAAACTTTTATGATTGATGTAAACTTTATTATTATCAGCACAAGTGTTCGTAAATTTTATTCTTTTACACACAAATATTTTTTCTATCATCTGAATATTTCTTGTGTTTCAAAGTAGATATTATATATAATATCTAACTTGAAACACAATAATTATATTGTATTATTTATTTTCTTCCCTTTTTGTTGTTTCTTTCCTTCAGAACTTGTTTGATTGTCCAGGATAAATTTTTTTGTGAAATGTGTTTTGAATATTTTTCTATTACATGTTTGATTATGCAAATATTTATATACTTCTCTACAGCGCCCAAGGAAGGTAGGTGCAAAGTACTCACAAGATGGTTTTGCTCCGGATGAAGTTCTTCCTCCGAAACTAATGCTGGATTATGATGGGAAGAGAGATCGTTGGAATGGGTATGATCCAACAAACTATCAAACAATTGTTGACGAATTTTCTAAAGTTGAAGAGGTATGTATTCATAATGTATTTTAAAACTTGAATTTTTATTTTGATGAATTTTAAATTCCTAAATTGCAAAATTTAAGTTTTTTTAAAAGAAATTCCATTAAATTCCACGTGATTTTGCATTTTTCAGGCAAAACGTCAACTAAAAGAAGAAAAATTAAAACAAGATTATATGTCTGGAGAAACCAATCAAACTAAAGAGGGAGTATGTAATTTTTATCTTACTATTATAATTCTACTTTTTTTTTAAGAAATATGAATTTGATATCATAAAGCAAAATGATTGTTTACCTGTTTTACAACATGAAGATCGATTGCAAGCATAATATTTATTTATTAGTTATTTTTGGTTTATGATATTAATTAATGATGCTCATGTTCATATTTCTAAATTATAAAGAAATGTAATCATGTATATTTTTTCCCCTTTTATCGATGTGTTAAGGGTATAAAGGGAATTGATAAAAAGTGTTTTTATGTTGCCCTGTGCAGTAAGCTATATTTCAATATATTCGTATTTTTTAGAATGCTGATGTGGATATAGATGATGATGATGATGAAGAAAAATATGCTGACAATGCTGATATGCCGGGTACAAAAGTAGACAGCAAACAAAGAATTACTGTTAGAAATCTTAGAATTCGTGAAGATACTGCCAAGGTAAGAACTATCTCTTTTTTTCTTTTTAGTCTGATTGATTTAAGTATGATTTAAATAAAAATGCATTTACTTCATGGTATATCTAATTAGAAACATTAAATATTTTTATAAAATTACATATATTTTCATTTTTTAAATATGCAGAAGGTATATAATGTCCCCATGTTAGTCTAAATGTGTATTCATCTAACATCCTGTAACATGTTTTGTATTTCCATATGAGCCATCTCTATCGATAATATCTTCTGGTAAACTATATTAAACTTTAAAAGATCTTTTGGGCAATTATTAAAATGTGAAAAAACTTTAAAATGCTGTATCACTTTTCAAATCGTTGCCACCCATATATTATCGCCTTGTCTTATATTTAAAGAAATTAAACAATGAAGAATCTGCATAAATGTATGTATGTTTCTCGCATTGTGATAAAACAACAGTACCTAGAGCCATCAAAATTTGAATAACATAATCTTTCTTAGAATACAGGCATGTGGAAGCCCTAATTTGAATTTGAAATTTGTTTTATTATCAATTTCAGATTTTGTAACACTTCAACGAATTTTTTATTAAGAAACTAAACAATTTCAAAGCGAGCAGAGGAAACACTGATCGCTTTGGAAAAAAATTTTTTTTTATTTTATTATGAAAAAAAAACATTTTTGTCTCTAAACGCGCGAAACTCTGTATTGGAAATTCTAAAGATGTGCTCATTTTAAAATTAATTTTCAATAATACTGTTGAACTGAATTTTATACTTTGGGTATGTACGAGGGCCATCCAGGAAGTAGATTACGTTTCCGTCTGTGTCCGCTAGGGGCGGGGCTAGCGCGGCCATCTTGGCGTCAGAGCGTTGCGCAGCTCAGTCTGCATCTAGCCGTGCTAGTGAGAGGTTCGTGCTGCGCTCCGTTCAGAATCTGTGACGGTTTGAAATGTCTGCGTTAATTGAAAATCCCGCGAGGTGCAGTAATAAGGTTTCTGACTGCAAAAAACTGTAAACCGATAGAAATCTATCGGCAGCTTCGTGAAGTGTATGGGGACAACATTATCACTGAAGGTGGAGTGCGTCAGTGGGTCATAAGATTTCAAAATGGCCGAACCAATGTTCACGACGAAGATCGAAGTGGGAGACCCAGCATAGTGACCGCCGAACTTCTCGAAAAAGTCGATGCTAAAGTCCGTGAAAATCGAAATTTCACAATAACGGAACTTTCTTTGAGTTTTCCACAAATTTCGCGAAGTTTGTTGCACGAAATCATCAGCGAAAAGCTTGGTTACCACAAGTTTTGTGCAAGATGGAAGGCAAGAAGAGGTAACGAAGTGGTTGAAGGCGCAGGCGGCCGAATTTTTCGACGAAGGAATTTCCAAGCTCGTACATCGCTACGATAAATGCCTTAATTTGTATGGTGACTATGTAGAAAAGTAGTATTTGAGTGTGGCTTTCATCTGTATATAATAAAATTTGTTTCCTATACTTTGTTTATTTTTTTTATTCCAAAACGTAATCTACTTTCTGGATAGCCGTCGTAGAATATGATATTTAGTAAATAAAGGTAACACACAAAACATTTAAAAAAAAAAAAAGTCCCCTTTAGATGTAATTTAAAATCTGAAACCTTTCAGTTTTTTTTTTTTTTTTTTCCCCATGTTTAATCTTGAAAAATAAGTCTTTACAATGGACTCTGTAGACATTTCTATCTGTGTTAGTAAGTAACAGTTTCACCATATGTTAATATAATCAAGGTATTTCTTTCATGTTAATATAATATGTTCACAGATTTTATGTCTACACTGGTATATTGATTTTTATTTTCATTTCGCTGTAAAACTAAATTGTCCGCCTCCCCATTTTTTTTTTCACAGTATTTGAGGAACCTGGATCCAAATTCAGCATATTATGATCCCAAAACTAGAGCCATGAGGGATAATCCGTATAAAACTACTGGTCTAAATCCAGAAGAGTAAGTTGCAACTTAAAATTTTCTACTAATTTTGATAAACTGTATCTGTATATTTTATTTTGAATTTAAAGTAGTCTTATGGAAATTTCATGAACAGAATTTTATTTCTGTAATGTCTTCATGCTGATACCTTTGAATATTTTATCCTGTATGATACGAAATCATTTTTGATTTTATATCATATCTGGCTGTTAGACTATTAAGTACTTTCCTGTGAAAGTCATACCACATATTGTTTTTTCCTTGGCATTAAGTGTTGCTGGTTTGGGTGGCTTCTTTCATGATGATGCTTTCTTTCTCTTCCTAACTATCATGCATGCAATTATGCTTTTCATCTAATTATTTTTTTAAATCTGATTGTAATGATTGCCACAACTTGGCATTAATCAAAAGATGGGGAAAAAAATTAGCTGTTCTATTTCTTCAGGAAAGATATATTTTTCACAAGGGAAAATTCTATATGAATGACCACCTTTTAAAACTAAAATATGACTGTTAAATTATAAGATTAAAATATAAGTCAAAATGGTTATTCTGCCTTTGCTAGGTTTTCAAACACAAGCATGTTTTATTTGATAGTGTATTCCTTTCACTTCTGCCAATTCATTTACTATATACTTGTGGGAGTTAGCATCAGTTAAGTCTTTCTTGCAAGCTCATCCTGACATTAAACTTAATAAATGCTACGAAACACTTGAAACTGATAAAAAAACATTTTCATAAAAAGAAAAAAAAAGATATTGCAGGCTGTGTTTTTCTCCCACGGTGGGGTTTGGAGGATTGTGACATGAAATTGGACAAAAATGTATTGAATTTTATTTGATTGCACTTAAAGCTGTTCTTTTATTCGAAAATTTACACCCACCTAAAGTTGCCCTTTCCTTTTTTTGGCCTATGGGCTATTACTTTATTAATGCTTCCTCATGTTTATAACACTTTAGTAACATTGTTTTATTTTGGAGAATCGGTGATAAAAATATCTGTATATTTTACCATTGTGAATGTTGAACAGCATAACTTCAAGTAGTCTTGAAAATCATTTTTAGAATATTAATAAAAAATCTGATGTGGAAAACTATATGACTTTCTTGTGCAGCATATTAAATTATACACACTTTTTTCTGCTCTTAATTAACTGATCTCTCAAAGCAAACAAAAATTACATCAAAAATTGCAAATTTTGAAATTGAATATTCAGGTGAATTTTTTCATACAGAAGTCAAACTTCTTGAAATTTTATTTTTTCATAATGAATATAAAACTTTCCCAAATATAGGTATAGGAAACGGGAGTGTGCATTAAAAGTTAGATTTTGTTATTTGTTGATTTTTCCTCCCTAATTTGACATTGCCGAAGCATGATTTTTCATCATTTAAAACACTTCTGTAATTGGAAGTATATAAATAAGTAGAAAATAATACTACATTCAATATATATATATTGATTTCTACTTTTTTGAAAATAAGTAGAAATCAATTTAAAAAATATTGCATGATTTGGGTTTTGAGTATATTGTTTAAGAATTGATTGAATAAATTTGCTAAAATAAGTATAACCCTTGCCTTGGAAATTTAATAGTGCCAAATTGTAAAAATACTATTAAATTTAATTTTAAAAAATTACCAAGCAGTTTGTAATTTTATAATAATAATTTTTAAAAATTTTGTTATAGGTTGAATTATGCTGGTGACAACTTTGTCCGTTATACGGGAGATACTTCAAAACATAGTCAAACGCAGTGTAAGTGATTTGTAACATATATGTATTTAAGATTCTGAAAGCAATTAATTAAAATTTACTAATGTTTAAAAATGCATTATTTTTGTGAACTTCATATGTTTAATTTTTTAAGTCTGCAGTAATCTATTTTGTGCATGAAATAACTAGAGGTTAAAAGAAGGAAGGCATTTAAGTACCCAAGGAATTATTGCCTTTTGAGTGCTTCTTTTATCACCTAACTAGAGATAATTTTTTTTTTTTTTTTTTTTAAATATTGATCCAAATTTTACAATCGTTCTCAATACCACAACTTTTCCACACTCACACACAATTCAGTACCACAACCACACACTTTTCCCACCTGAAACTTTATCTTTCATAATAATTCCTTGCAAATTCTAGGCACAGATCATAATTTATTTCGCCAATGGTTGTGTATGCTGAAATAATTGGAGTCGCGGAATGAGTTGCTAGTTTGACAAGATTTAAATTTCAGTCAAAATACTTAATTCATATTTTATCAAATATTGTTATTCTAGATAGAGATCTTTTATCTTAATCTTCATATCAATAACATTGCATTAAGCAATAAGGGATCAACAGAACACAAATGTCTTTTTTCTGCAAAGTTTCTATCAAAATCTGCATACTGATATTGGTAAAATCTCTTTAGCTTGTGATATTTTTTTGTATTTTTAGATTTCTTATTTGATGACCTTCTTTCTGTCACGCTAGGTTAGAGGCATTTTACTGCCCAACATATCTAAAAATGTTCACCCCTTAGTACTGCCGCTTTGCAACTGCACCAATTGCCCGGCTGTGATTACAATTCTTTTAATCTTTTTTTTTTTTTTTTTTTTTTTGTCTTTTGTCTTTCTAATTTTTGATCATCAGTTTGATATGTCCTTCAGGAAAGCTTGGTAGCCAAACACAAAGTTGTACTATGATCCATTGCTTGATCACTACACATTTCAGGCAATAATGTGGAATATTGCTCCCTTAAACGCATATTTTTAAAGTCTGAACTTTTGTTTTCTAAAGTATTTTCATACAGACTCCATTTCAAACTCCATTTGAGATTTATTTTGTGTGTGCAGGTTAGGTACCCGAGTGAAAAGTTGTATTATGTAACCGTTTTGCTGACAATAATTTATTTTAATTTCGCCCGAGTTATGTTACTTTGAAATTCAAGACGAGATGGTTAAATCATTTGACTGCTTTTGTGTGTCCGACAGTTAGAATATGGTGGATCCGTATACCTATTTGGCAAGAGCTTAAGAACTAAACTGTTGTGTAGATGTTTGCCATATTACAAAAGGCCTCCACATCAAACATCTATGAATATCCATGGAAATACGAAGAGTTACATGTTTGCGTTACATCTGCGTTTGTGAAATAAATTCATTACAGTAGTGACAGGTATGTTTTCTTCCTGTAACATGAGTTTTGATATGCCATGTATTTGAAAAATAGATCAAAATTAAACAGCTGAGGGTTGAAGAGTTCGGCTGGTAGACAGATGAAATATGGGCTTGACGGAGCGTTTATATAGTCTGGCATGAATTATTACATTTATTAGCAGTAGGCTATGTACGTCCAGAATTATTGTAATGATTCAAGAGGTGGGTTCATGAATTTTCAATTATGCGTAGGAACTTCGTTATCTGTGTCCAAATTAATCAGGACAGTTCGAGGGATAGTTTCAAGAATTTTCAATGATGCACATGAACTTTGTTATCTGTGTCCAAAATTATCGAGATGATTCAAGATATAGTTCCGAGAATTTCCAGTGATGCTCATGTACTTTGTTATCTCTGTCCAAATGTATTGGGATGATTTGAAAGAGAGTTTTAAGAATTTTCAATGATGCGCAGTGTACTGATTACTGACAAATTCTGGCAGATTCCATTGGATGCCACACTGAAATACTGTATCAGTCAAGGCTGCCATGAGAAATACTGATTATTCAATATTCAAACATACCTCTGAAATTTCATTCATATTCTTTTTTTTTTTTTTTTTTTTTTTTTTTTTTTTTTTGTGTGTGTGGTGTGTTGTGTTGTGTGTGTGTGTGTTCGTTCGTGTTCGTTCTGCAAGACTGCTTATGAGTTAGAAAAAGAACACTGAATTTTCTTTTAAATAACAATTTGTAATTTACTCAAAAAACATTTTTTATGTAATTGTAGACCACTGAATATGCTTCTGATTCATTTTACTTCTACTAAAATAAAACAACAATAATTACAAACAGAGAGGTATAAAGGAAATCAGAAGAAAATATTTAGTTTCTCTACCTGAAGAAAAAAACGCTCGGTTGAGTGTTTTTTCTTACAAGAGTTGCAAATTTTTATTTCTTTGAGACTTAACTTTTATGAACACAAAACAGTAGATATAAGGTGTGTTTATTCATATTTATACGTAATCACGTTAATCACATATTCATTAATTTACTTCAAAAGTTTCTTTATATTCAAAACCTATCTCATTATTTTAAAAATGATATAAATTTGCACTTTCAGCTCTCGAACGCTCATAAAATCTATCATGCGGCTCACATCGTCTTGAAGTTTGACAATCCCTGGCGTATAGCATTCTGCAAAAGTGGCTATTTCATAGGATGTAAAAAGAACGTGTTCCTGTATTACTCTATATAGCTTTCACCATTGATTTAATGGCCACTTTACATGATCACATACCCACAGTACTTACTTTAGCCATTGTTTTTTATTAATAAAAAAATCTTTCACAAGCTAATGAGTTCTGAAGCTATTTTGATTCAGTTTCTGATTTACAAGCCACTTAGAAATGCTAACTGTACTACAGTCAAAAGTCGTTAATTCGGACACCCATAATCCGGACCTCAAAGCTACAAACTTTCTGCGTTGACGCATGCGTGTCAGACCTTTACGGCTGTGAATGTGCACATGTGCATTTAATGTATAACGGACGGTATAAGCTAAGCTAAAATTATCTAAATCAGTTAATGTTGCAGATTGCGTTGTTCCTTAATCTTCATTTTGGATCCGGCTTATTATTTTTTGCAGACTGTTAGAGCAATTTTATAAAAGTAAGCTTGAACCTTCGATTATGTCAAAAAGAATTTCCGATTTTGGAGCTGCCAAAGTATCTACAAAGCGAAAGCATTTTTCGAGGTCCATCAAACAAAAAGTGGAATTGCTGCAATAAATGGATAAAGGCATATCCTTCGTTTCTCTAACCATTCCGAAATCTGTTTATCAATTTCACGCTACTCTGCAGCGGGGGGGGACGCCGCGGCGGGGCGCAATGAGTTGGAAGTTGATCTGCCAGCACTATCCTTATCTTCAGGGCAGATGTTTTTATTTTATTTGGCTTATAATTCCTTACTAAATGTAGTATTTCATCTCGATGTTCTCAGTCTTTGATATGATTTAAATCAAATTCCTCGTCATTATAATTCGCTTCCGATAGTGAAGAAAGTGACACAGAGGTTATTGAAAATGAAAAAATTTCGATTGACAAATTAGTCGGTATTCTCGACACAGCAATTTTAGGACTTGAACAGCGGAACTTTGTAACTGAAGAAGAAATTATGTCTGTTTATAGAACTAAAGAGAAAGTATTATCACATAAAACGAAGCAACTTAACAACTTGCATTGAAAGAAATGTTTAATAAAGTAAATAAATAAATATTAAGCTTTTTTTTTTTTTTTGTCAATTTTGATACCCTTTAGATCACAATTGCTCTTTATTTCAGAAATTGCGGTTTCATTTTTTTAAATTTTATAATTTCCACATGCCATCTTACCAGATTTAAACTGATGATCTATCTATAATCCGGAATCGCCGAAGTCCCGACGAGTCCGGATTAACGACTTTTGACTGTACTTATTTGCCACTTATACCACAATTTTACAGAACTATGAAAAGAATCTTTTAAGGGCATGAATAAGACTTTGGTCATTTTGTATTGAATTTTTCCTGGGTCTTTTTCAGGGCTGATGTTTTGAGTTTCTAGTAAAATTAAGTCAATGCATCTACTAACTGTTGAATGATGACAGCCAGATTTCATAGCAATTTGGCAGCAAGATAATCCTTTGTTTACTAACATTTTTTTTATTAACTTAAAAAAAATTTCAAATTATAACACAGTGTCACAGAATTTTTAAAGCAAGTAACAGTCTTTTTCTTTTATGAGCAGAATTTAGACAATAGAGACAGCTGCAGTAAAATGAAAAAGGAAATTAAAATTTTTTATTGGTTTATTATGTTCTTTCTTCCATGACTTTCAAATAATGATGTTATTTTTAAAGCAGTAAAAAGTTTTGAATTCTATGTAAAATTATCTTTAAAATGATATATAATTTCTTAAATTTAGAATTTAGGGTAATTTTGAAAATATCATTATATGCTTGGAATATACGTTTTTAAAAAGGTGGTGTATTTCTATACAGGAAAATATAGTAGGCAGTTTTTTTTTTTTTTAAATCCAAAGAATTTTTTCAATTGAAAGGTTTTGATGAACATCTTATTTGACTCTTTAATTTCAGGCAGAACTTAATCAGCAAAACATGCATTAAAATTAATATAAAGGGTTATCATATGCATGTATATATATATATATATATATATATATATATTTCAGCTTAGTTTTCTTTTTTATGCATATGTAAGATTATTGTTTTTAGGGTGCTGATTATCGCAGTATATTGTTAGTTATTCAGAGGTATGATTTAATATGTAAATCAGGAATTTATTAGCATAAGAAAACATAAGCAAGCAATGGTATCTGTGAGGAGTATGAATTTATAAACATTTTAGGGCAGAAAAGAGGTAATTATCAAAATAATAGAAAGACTTTACATGCTTATAAAAAAGCTCATTATTTAAAATTAAAATTTTTCTCTTACAAATCAAGCAATTATTTAAAATTAAAATTTTTCTCTAACAAATCAAGCAAATAAAGTGTTTTTCTTATATTACTATATTTTTTATTATATTTTCTTGGTGTATTATTCTTAATGAACTTAATATTAGATTAGTAAATGCAATTATCTCATAGTTCCTTTTTATCTCTACTTTTGTTCTTTTGCTAATATTTTGTGGAACTTTATTGTACATTAAACCATGAGTTTCTTCATCTAAAGTAATACTGCTGAATGAGAGTGTGATTTGAGAAAAAAGTAATAATTGATTCTTCATTGATAAATTAAATATCATTTTGGCTTATACTACTAGAATACTTAGACAGGAATAAAAAGTATTTGGTTTGAATATAACAGGTATTGACCCAAAATTAAGGTAATAAAACAGCAACTGTAAAAAATCAGAAAACTAGATCAAGAATGATATTTTTTTAAAAGAATAATTACCCTGAAAAAAATTGTCTTAACTTTAAAAAAAACTAATAGGCTGCAATTGATAATCAATTAAAAACTGGTCTAAAATATGACTATTATTATTATTATTTAGTATGGTCTTTAGTTGAATTAAAATCCATCTTGAGGATGTGTGACTCTACAGATGTCTGTCTACCTTATGTTTAACATTTCTCTCAGATTTTTAACATCTGAGAGAAATGTGCCTCATTGTTTGATAATTCATTTCCAACTATTTTTGGAGTTGACAAATTAATAATGTGTTCCATTAAAAAATGACTTTCTCATTTATTTTTAGTATTTGCATGGCAAGCTTATGAAAAAGGAGTTGAAGTTAATTTGTTGGCTGAACCAACAAAAGCAGAATTACTCCATCAAGAATTTCAGATAAAAAAGGAAGAAGTGAAAGATAGCATTAAAGGAGGCATAGTTGAGAAATATGGAGGAGAAGAACACCTTGAAGCACTCCCAAAAGAACTTATTTTTGCACAGACTGTAAGTTTTTGTATTCATTTCATTTCAATAAATAAGTTAATATTTAGGATAAGAAAAATTGAAATATTTCCCCCCTTTTTTTCCCCTTGCAATTGTAGGAAGATTATGTTGAATACTCAAGACAAGGGCAAATCATCAAAGGAAATGAGAAAGTTATTGTGCGGTCAAAGTATGAAGAAGATGTTTACATCAATAATCATACAGTATGTATCATTACTTTAGTAGAAATTATTTAATATGACATGTTGATCATTTGGGTTGTTATGTCTTCCTTCTGTAAATGTTATAGTTGAGATTGAATTATGATGTTAAATTATGTTTGTGTGTTATTCATGGCTGTTCAGTTGCCAAAAATTTGCATACTGGTACACTATCTGGTTCCTCAGGATCCATTGCTAATGCCATCCACAGTAGGTTCTAGGGTTGCCAGTGTTCACAGGAGAGCAAAGTTTTGGGATAGCTGTTGCAATACTGTAGTCATGAGTGAGTCATTAGTGTTATTAAAAGTGTATGGCTACGTGCTGGCTAGTACACAATTATCAAAATTTGCTAGGGATGCTCAAATTGAATCTGTGAGAAAATATATTGCAGCCCTGACAATGAATTTTATAAAAATGATAAGGTTCCTTTTTATTATTATGTCATTAAGTTTTCACATGGTGCAAATATTGCAAAATAATGGTGATTAAAATCAGAGAATCCTTAGAAGTCTTAAATCTGTGGTTTCAACTAATTAAAAATATATTGTCTGAAATGGCCATGTGAAACGTTTGGTGAAGAATCTGATGTATCCAAGTTTTCAGTTCGTTATGTTTAACCAAAAGTGTAATGAAAAGAAAGATTTGTTCTCAAAAACTTAGAGCAGACGAAGAAAAGATGTGCATTGAATTCTGCGAAAACATTATTAACCCTCCAAGTGACTAAAGGTTTTGCACTTAAACTTTCAAAGCTCCTAAAAGGCATATGATAAAGAGGTTTATGTATATATATTTATTATTATTTCAAATGTGCCTGTATCTTTTTATCAGTTTTTGTATCAAACATAGTGCAACTACTTTTCTTTCAGATATACTATACTGTATGAAAGGTTTGGATACATTTCAAGATGTATGTGTATCTACTTATTTAAAGGTATTAGGACAAATATTGCTAAAAATGTATGTATTTTGGCCAATCAGAGGAATAAAATAGCAAATGAATGTCAAAATTTTTAAATAGACACCATGTTTCAAGTATGATACAGGAATCAAGCTCTAGACAGTGTCATGTAAATCTGTGGATTCTTCAAAAGAAAAGGAAGGGAAGAATAAAAATACCTTTTTCAGAAGTTAAAAGGATTGTAGTAAGGTGATAATAATATCATTCTTATCAAATTGTATAAAGTTAACAGTCATGATACAAAACATTTGTTGTCCATTCAAAATAAAAGAGAAATGCACTGGCACAGGAATGTGGGAAATAAATATAATTTATTTATTTATATATTTTTAAAAGTGGAAGGTATTGGAAATAAAATGGCTTTGTAAGGAAGTTTTTTTCTTTCTAATATCTGAGCTGTGTGCAACAATGAATTCAGGGCAGATATATAAGAGCAAAAGCATTTGTGTATTTGCCCTGAATCTTTTGAGCACTTCACTGTTTTATCAATTGAGATGTCAAGCAACCAGCAGTGATATTGCACATTCAAGGGAGGAAGTAAACAACCGAGCCTTACTGAATCAAATGCCTGGGATGACAGTCAGAAGTTGCTGTTTGTATTCAGAAGTACACACACTTATTGAGTTTACCGATATGCCGTTTACAATTTAAGTACAGTGGAATACCATTTATATGTCTTTCAAGGGACTATTGGCAAGTGATGTATAATTGAGAAAGACATGCAAACAAAATTTTAATCTCTGATGTGAAACAAATATATATTAGCTGCAAAATTTTGATACTGCTAACCTGCTACTGATATTACACAATTTTATTATCGTATTTTCAATTTGTTTAAAATATTAACTATTTTCAAACAAATTTAATATTTTAAACAATTAAAGCAGTTTTTAGAAGTAATACTTTAAAATGATATTAATATCAATTTAATATTTTAAAAATCATAAGAATGCAAATTTGTGTGTATAGTTATGTAAAATTGAGGATTGCGGGGAAAGGTCATACCTTTATTTGAATTACCATCTTGAATACTATATATGATCATGTAATATCCGAACTTTTTTTACTAAAATTACATCACTAAAATGCAGGTGCGGACATTACACGGGTTGTTCAAATGTCATGCTTTTTCTCACGAGTAATTTTGTTAGTAAATTTCATTTCAAATAGCCAAGTTGAGTTCTAAATGGAAGAAAAGGGCATAAGTAATAAAAGCATCAAATTTAAAGTTGTCTAATAGCTACCTAAAATTTACAAACTCACTTTCTCCCATCCACACATATAATATAAATTACCCCAATTATATTATCAACACTCGGCGCGTATTAGTTCGCACAGGAACACAATATAGAGGCACAAATTAACCAACATTTGCAGTTTTAATATTTACTTTTATACAAATTAAATAAGCTTTGGTTCTTTTAATGTCTTGCACACATTATAAAAAAAATTTTTAAAAAAAAAACCTGTTTTGATGCACTGTATAAAAATCCATTTTGTTTCATTATTTTCCGCAACCAGCCTTTACTCTTCTTGAATTGCAATATAGGAATGTACCCTTGAGCACGCATATCACAAACATAGTGCAACTACTTTTTTTGAAGTTCGGAAGCTGACATTTCAAACCACGAAATGCATGCCTTATTTTGTTCGTTGCCTCCAGTTGATCACGCTGTATGCTCTAGTTGCGCATACACTTTTCATCCACCTTATATACTCTTACTGCTGCTCTTTTTCCATTTGCCTGCTCAAATTCTATGACTTTCAGTTTAATAGCTGCTGTATTTTCCCATTTCAAGCACGCTACTTGCTAACCACCACAAATTCCAGATGATACTATGAATGAAAAGAGAATGTTTGAAATATGTGAATGCTTCCAAGGAGGAAGGAGGGGAAAGTAATTTCATTACAAAACAGTAATTCCTGGAAGCTAGTGTGGTGAAAACCTGTTTGGACTCTCCTGAAATTGCGATAAGATATTTACTGCATATACAATATTGGGCCTTCTTCTGTTAACTACAAAAACTAAACATCCCAATAGATTTCTAAAAGGTATTTTTTGCATTTCATTTCAGCAGTTTTTGCACTTGTAGATGGACAGTCTAATTTTGTAAGAAAAGTGCCTTTAGCTATGGAAAGTAAAGTTATTGGTATCTGAAAATGTTTAAATTTTGCAAAAATTTCTTCGATGTATTTTTGCTGATGTATAAAATTGCCCTTGCTGTTTTCTAAAAATTCAATTCCAAGTAATTTTCTAGTTCTGCATAATACTTTAAGATTGAAAAACTTACCCAACTGTGAGATTACTTTATCTATACACTGTTGATCTTTACTAAAAATTACAATATCATCTATATAATAAAAGGATTACATTGCAGCTTTTTAAACACAATTATACCGCAGAATTTTCTTAAAATCTAGATTTTCTAAAGTATTTTCAAATTCACAAAACCATTCATGGCCACTTTGATGCAGACTGTAAATGGCCTTGTGTAATAAGCACATTTTATTTTTCTCTTCAATAAATTCCTCTGGCTGAGTCACATTTATTTCCCTATTGAGCTTTGCATATACATGGGCATTTTTAACATCTAACCGACAGTTAGTTCATCCATACAAACACACTAGTATTGTGAAAAATATTCTTATGATTGAAAAATTTACTACAGAACTGTAAACATCATCAAAATCTTCACCCCTTTTCTGTCTGAATGTGTATGTTACTAGACGTGCTTTATATTTAACTACTTCATTCTTTTCATCTCTTTTTAGCGAATAGACCCATTTGTTTCCGAGCATAATTTTATTTTCTGGCTTCTCAACTAATTCCCAGACCTTCCATTTCTTCTTGTCAATTTCTTCCCTCATTGCCTAATGCTGTTCTTTGGAATTTACAGATTTCTGTGCTTCTTTAAAATTTTGTGGGATAATAATTTCTAGAGTTTGCCTCTTCAGATACGGAACTATCCTCTTGTTCTACAAAATTAACTTTTCCAGAGTATTCGTTTTTGCCACTAAAGTCAAACATATCTCTTTCAAATTTAATATTTCTAGCCTCGCAATATTTTTCAATGTCATTATGAGACCTGAAACAAGTGTCTGTTCCTTCTGTGTATTAATATATATCTGTGTTCCATCTAGCCTCTTAACCACTTTTCTTTACCAGTTTAAGTCTGAAACCTCTTTCGGAGTAGATTTATGTTCTAATGAAGTTTCCTGTTCTTTATCCGATTCTGATAACCATTCCGATTTGTCTAGTCTTTTTTGATTTGTGGCCCAGGATGCTATCTTCTGCGTTCAGTTTTTCATTGAATTTCACATTACAGGTTTCTATTAATCAGTGTTCTTCTGGTAGCCATATTCTATAACCCTGAGTTTCCTTTCCATATCCTATCATGATTCCTTTTTTGCATCTCATTTGTAATTTATCTCTATTTTGTTTTGGTATGCCAATATAGGTTTTACAGCCAAATACCTTAAAATAAACAACACTGGGTTTTCTATTGAGGAACATTTCATAAAGAGTTTCGTTACTCTTGTGGCACACCCTGTTCCACGTATGCATGAAACATCGAAGAAGTTCAGCCCACCATGCTTTTTCCATTTTACTATCATTAAGCATATCTTTAATACCGTTCAGTTAAATCGTTCACACACGCTGTTCTCTTCTGGCATGAACGCATTTGTATGTTCAACACTAATTCCGTTTTCGGTTAAGTACCTTTCGATTTGCTTGTTACAGAATTCACCACTGTTGTTGGTGCGTATACTTATTAATTTTTTATTTGTCAATTTTTCCTTTAGCCTATGATATTTCTTAAAGTTAACGAGTGATTCATTTTTATTTTTCATACAATATACTGTTACTAATCTACTTTAGTCATCTAAGATAGTGAGGAAATATTTATTGCCACCTCTAGACGACCTGGGAGGGGCCACAAACGTCTAAATAAACCAACTGCAATGATTTTTAGATCTCTTAGGAACAGTTTTAAAAGTTATTCTACTAGATTTAGCAATAATACAAGGTTCACATTTCTCCATT